TGAATATAAAGGCAAATGGCCAATAAGACATAAATATATGAAAAAAATGCTCAGACTTACTAGTAATCAATGGGATGGGAATCCAAATAATAATTGTCTAGTGCATGTGAAATTGGCAAAGTGAAAATTATTTTTGTTTTTGTGTTTAACATTGAATGAAACACTTTAATATTGCTACGGGTACCATAAAACAAACTCTGGGGGAGAGGGAATACGCAAATTGTGCACATTTTCTGGAAATATATTTGACAACATATATTAGGTATCCTAAAAATAATATTTTCATTTGATATTTCATTTCCACAAATATATCCTTAATAAAAAAAAGAGCACCAAAATATAAAAGAACAGGATCCACACAGTCTTATCTGAGTACGTAATTACTTTGCATTTAATTGCTACATACATTTTTTACATGATTCACATTTTTAATTAGAAAAATTAAATTTTTTAGCTTTCTATTTTGAGATCATTGAGATTCACATGCAGTCATAAGAAAACATAATACAAAGTTTCAGTTTCTGGCAATAGTAATATCTTACATAATTACAGCACAATGTCACCACCAGGAAATTCATACTGATAGAGTGCCATTAATCATATTTCTCCTGGGATGTGGAGAAAAAGGAACTCTCCTGCACTGCTGGTGGGAGTGCAAACTGGTCCAACCACTATGGAAAGCTGTGTGGAGATTCCTCAACCTGCTAAAGATAGAGCTTCCATATGATGCAGCAATTCCACTCCTAGGTATTTACCCAAAGGACACAGAAACATTAATTCCAAAGGGCAACTGCACCCCTATGTGTATAGCAGCACTATTTACAATAGCTAAACTTTGGAAACAACCCAAATGCCCAAAAATAGATGACTGGATCAAGAAGATGTGGTACATATACACCATGGAATATTACTCAGCATTCAAAAAAGATAAACACATGCAATTTGCAGCAACATGGATGGCGCTGGAAGGGATCATGCTCAGCAAAATAAGCCAGAAAGAAAAAGAAAAATACCAGATGGTCTCACTCATAGCAGGAATCTAGAAAACCTAAATAAGGGACCAGGGAAAAGAATAACTATAAGAAAAAATAAAATTCAACAAGCAACTATAAACCAGAGATACACTATGGGGGTTGGGGGGAAAGGCAGGATTAGGGACAAAATAAGGGGGGTGCAATTGTGTGGGGAATATAAAAATAAAAATAAAAATAAGAAAAAAAATAAGAAAGAAAGAAAGAAAGAAAGAAAGAAAGAAAGAAAGAAAGAAAGAAAGAAAGAAGAAAGAAAGAAAGAAAGAAAGAAAGAAAGAAAGAAAGAAAGAAAGAAAGAAAGAAAGAAAGAAAGAAAGAAAGAAAGAAAGAAAGAAAGAAAGAAAGTCATATTTCTCCTGCATACTTGTTCATTAGTGTAGTATAATTGTATGCAATTTCACCACATGTGTAGATTAGTGGGACTACCACCACACAAAAATACAGCCCATCGCCACAAGACCCTTGTATCTGCATAGCCACATTCACCGCCTTCCTTAACCACACCTAACTCTTGGTAATCTCTTATCTGTCTAGCTCTATCATTTTATCATTTTAAGAACTTATATATCAATAAATGGAATCAGACTGGAATTGACTTTTTTCATGCAGCTTAATTCCCTTGAGATCAGCCAAGTTGTCACATGTGCTAAACACATATTCCTTTATATTACTGAGTAGGGTTCCATGGTATGGCTGTATCACTGTTTACCTGTTCATCCCCTGAGAGATATTTGAGTTGTTTCCAGTTTTCACCTGCTATGAATATGTATGTACAGGCTTTGTGATATTACTCTTAAAACAAAATAACTAAATAAGCAAGCAAACAAATACAACATACAGTTCAAATTACAACCACAGGTGAATAACTAAATAATGGGAAATTGCATTTTTGGTGTCATTTAAAATTATGTTTAATTGGCATATTCAATGAGCTAGATCTGAAGGTACACACAGAAAAAAAAAATATTCCCTCCAATCACTGTGTTTAGGAATGGAATTTCTAATACCCTTTGTGGAGACGCATTGAGAAAAGGAGGCACAATGGTGGGACACTGTGGGACTATTTCACACCAGATCTTTATCAAACTGAGCAAACCCAGGATAGACAGGAACAGAAACCCTTTAGTGTGGGGAATTACCAGGGGAAGTCATTAAAATGCAGATTTTGGGGCATGGACCCAAAGATTCTGATGATGCTGCTGGGATAGGATTTCTATATTTGCCCCCAGTGGGTCTGATGGAGGTGGTTCCGTGACCCCTGCCCCCCAAGCCAGGAATAAGATCTCGAGGAATCTGCCTCAAATTAGGCAAATGACAGCAGATGAAATTTGTCTCTTGTATGGCAAGGTTCTAAGTACCTACAGAAAAACTGCAGACTCATTATAAAAGTCAACCCACAGAAGTTTTTGAATACCCAAAAAGTAGATTTGTTGAGAATATAAAGTTTTCTGGCAATTTCTGCTCATAAGGTCAACAAACCTACCCTGACCCTCATCAGAAGTAACAACCTGTCCAGTCTCCCAGCTTCACTCCCAATAGCACTGAACCTCCACTCTCAGAAAATCATCTTTAGCCAAAATACAAAAATGCAGCAATGTAAGATCGACGGAACCTTGAAGGGCCATTTTGTCCATTAGCTTCACCTGGTACCATGTGGCACTTTGGTATAGACTGGATCATTGAACAGCAGAATTATTTTGGTATTCTTAACTGCACTTAAACAAAGTAATTTCTGAGTGAAGGTAGAATTGTGGAAAAATATCCTAACACTCTTCTTCCTGTCTACAGGAACCTGCTCCAAGGACCCTGCCATCCTCCAGGAGTGGAGCAGCCTACTGACTCTGCCAGATGTAACAATAGCAGCAGCATCTGGACAAGAGGCATTCGAGACACTAACCTCATGATGGTCCTGGGGTAAGGGCCACTATCCCCATCTGGCAGACCAGAACTGATTTGCCACGTGTAAGACTAATGTCAGATATGAATCTAGTATTCTCTGGCTCCCAACTCGTACCGTTCGCACCAAACCATGCTGCCCATCAGCTGCAGATTTGTTTTATTTAACAACCCCCTCCCCAATTTTCTTATGGCAACATGCAATCCTATGCTTTGAGAACCACAAGGGTACCATTAGCCAGAAATAGATGGCTCAAAGATGCTTGTCTGCTTGGGAAATGTTCGTGCCTCTGTGAGCTGGCTGAGCACTACATGGAGAGTCTGTGAGAGGAAGGACAGTCTTCCTCCTATCGCCTCTGTAGCCTCAGGCTTAATAGGTGGAAGCTCTCCCTGAAGCACTGCTAAGTAAACAGGAACTAAACCATGTCTCAGGCTCTGTGCTAAAGTCTTGGCATTTATCTCATGGAATCTCTTGACAGAGACAGTGATTGTGCACATCAACGACTGTCCTCCTATCATTCTAAGTTATAGAATCCCGTTAGGATTTTTGGTTAGGAAAAAGAAATGCACCACCTTTTTATTTACCTGCCTCCTTTGTGGTTAAAGGTAGTCTGTGACTGATTTTAAGCAGTGGAATGGAAATGAACTATCCCACGGAAATGCTTTCAAGTCTATTTAAGCTGGCAGTTCCCTGACTTTCTGCTTTCTTCCTGCTGCCAGGCTAGAATGCTGATATGATGGCTGGAACTTTTCAACCAACCTGGACCAAAAGGTGATCTTGGGAATGAAAGTTATACAGCAGGGTGCAGAGATGAAAGAGGGGAACTTGTATCAGTACATAATTATGGGATCGCCTCTGTAGTGCTGGGCTGCCCGAATCAGATTTTCTTAAGCCGCTAAGATTTTGGATTTCCCCTATTCTATCGCAGTTTAACTTAACCCAAAACATTATAAATTGTCTAATTCTGAAAGGTAGACAAGGAAAATTCAGACTTGACTACTGAATTTTCTACTCCTCTGAAATTATGGTATATAGTAAACTCAGGTTAAATCTTCATGCACTGCAAAACTGGTCCAACCACTATGGAAAGCTGTGTGGAGATTCCTCAACCTACTAAAGACAGAGCTTCCATATGATCCAGCAATTCCACTCCTAGGTATTTACCCAAAGGACACAGAAACATTAATTCCAAAGAGCACCTGCACCCCTATGTTTATAGCAGCACTATTTACAATAGCTAAGCTTTGGAAACAACCCAAATGCCCAAAAATAGATGACTGGATCAAGAAGATGTGGTACATATACACCATGGAATATTACTCAGCAATTAAAAAAGATAAACACATGCAATTTGCAGCAACATGGATGGAGCTAGAAGGGATCATGCTCAGCAAAATAAGCCAGAAAGAAAAAGAAAAATACCGGATGGTCTCACTCATAGCAGGAATCTAGAAAACCTAAATAAGGGACCAGGAAAAGAATAACTGTAAGAAAGAAAAAATCAAAATCAACAAACAACTATGAACCAGAGACACAATTTGGGGGGGGGGGCGGGGAAAGGAGGGATTGGGGTCAAAATCGGGGGGCTGCAATTGTATGGGGAATATAAAAATAAAAAATTAAATTAAAAAAAAACTTCACACACTGCAGAGCACCCCAAAATGTCCCAGAGGTGTGTTCTTTTCTCCACAATAGGAAATGATGACCAACCATCAAGAACTGGAGTCGGTGAATGGTGTCCCACAAATGGGTTCTTCATGCCCTTTCTCTGCTACTTGTGGTTAAACAAAAAGCAAAAGGCTGCCTAGGTTTAACCTTGATGTGTGAAAGAAAAAATATTTAAATACTGCCCTCAGCTGACTGCTTTCAGCTACTCGTTCAGTTACTCAGACCCATTAATTATGACGACAATAATTACATAATGCATAAAATATACTATATAGATAAAGCATGTGATTAAATAATTTTTTATGAGCTCTTATGGGATCACTCCAGAATAATGAGCAGGGTTAATAATATTGTCAAATTAAACATACCTCATTTCTATGCCCATTGCCCAGACATTTACCTACCTGGACTTCAGTGTCCTCATCCATAAAATGAGGGGCTTGAATGAGATGCTCAGGAGTCTTTGGGTCTCTGGGATCTGTCAGCTAAAGTCTGGCTGTTTTAGGCCCTGGGAGAAAGAGGACCATTATTTTGGAATATGGGATTTGACTTGGAAAACTGAGAAAGATCCTTACCACAATATGAAAGTGATTTTTTTCCCTTCTTGGAGATGCACAGCACTGTTTGCTTCCAACATTTAAGACATGCTCCCTACAGCAAAGCACATCCCAATAGTCTCTGGGTGGCAGCACACAGGTGATATGGAAATAAGCAGGAGGGGCTGCATGTGGTGGGAAATGACTGGCTGCTGCTCCCCTTGCCTGTCTACTGCTTCCCCAGACCAAGGAGAATGATACCTTAGCACTCCTGTAAGCCACTTGTGGAATGCTGAAAAGTGCTGAATTCAATCAGGTGAAAATCAAGAAAAGCAAACATTTTGCTTTATTTTTCTAGTTATCAAATTTATTTGCTTGTTTTGTTTTTTTTCTAAAATGTAAATAAACTATGTAAGGTTTAAGATCTTGTAATAAACTATCCAAAAGCAACTCAGGGCAACTTGCTGGGGGCCCTAGGCTTGTGTGTTCTCATTCTGCCCTTTTTGTCCCCACCCTAGTCCCAGGAACCACTGGGCTGGCTAAAACTGCTGAGCCATAGTGTAGACAGCAGAGCCCATCTGTCATTCTGATGGCCTCAGACTTGAGGTCAAGTTTGTTCAGCCTGATGGACAAGCCCCAGTCCTTCCGCTAGTGGCAGTGATAATCTTCCACCCAAAGGCTGGCCTTGGTTGGAGATTCAAGGAAAGGCCTTGAAAGAGCGAAAACCTAGCTATCCTCCCAGTGTGTTGAATGATGAATTTGATTTTGGCTCTACTGGAGGTCAGATGGCCATCACCCAGATGTCAGCCTTCCTGTACTTCATTGTTCACTAGTAGAAGCAAGGGCCAGGGGCCAGGGCTAGGATTCTGGAGTTAGAGACCTTCCTTCTAACTTTAGTTCCACTGTTCACTTCCTTAAGCCTTGGTTTTCTCTGTGTGAAACATAAATATTCTATCTACATTAACACATATATATTAAAAACCATCATGTGTCGAGTGTTACGATAGAGTCGAGAGAGATTATAAGGAACAAAACTGCAGAGGATGTTACAATGTGTTGCCCAAAAAGCCTCAGTAAGGAAGGACTTGCTATTTCTACTCTGGAGGTGTTATGGGTGGGGGCCTCCATCTTCACAGAATGTATCAACTCTGAGCCCCTAGACTCAAAGGCCACTGTTCTGGGGCTGGCCTCTGTCCAATGACTGACCGAAGCCAAAAGATGAAGAACTGGCAAGCTCAGCCCAACTTCAGACACCTTTAAAAGGCTACTGCATCCCCAATGCTCCAGAAGTCCCAGCTTCTCTCTCCACCCACATCTGCTTCTAGCCTCTCCTTTCCATGGGGGTTGGTCCCAGAGCCCTCCTTAACAGGCATCCCTCCAGTTAAACCCCATCTTCAGTGTCTGCTACCCAGGAATTCCAACCTGTAACAAAGACAACCTTCCCTCATTCAGGCCACCAACTTGGGAGAGAAATGATAAGGCAATTTTGTGAGGAAAGGAAAGAAGAGCAAACAAGATGTACATCAAAGTTAGCACAAAACTGTGGAAGATTTGAGTTGCTTTTTTCTAATGGTTTGAAGTGAGTTGAGTGCCTTGTAAAAACCTCTCTCATTGGGCCTCCCTGGTGGTGCAGCGGTTGAGCGCTGGGTTGCAAAGCTGCCCGCAGCCTCTGCAGCGCCGGTTCGATCCCGGGCTGCTTCCCGGCCACCAGAGGAGGGTCCCACATGGCGTGCAGACCTCTCCTGCCGCCCGCTGCTCCCCTCAGCAGTGTACTATGGTCCTTCTGCCTGCTCTGCTCCCCGCTCTGGCTCTGGTGAATTCTCTCACCCTCCCACACTTTTGACTGTACCAAGTGCTTGTATAAATAAATAAATATTAAAAAATAAAAAAAAAATCTTTAAAAAAAAAAAAAAACCTCCTCATTGCTCAGAGAGAAAGTCTGCATGTCTACCCTTCCCTGTCTTCAAAAGCCCATTCTCAGTATTTTGCTTGCTGAGGGTCCAGCCAGGTGTGGCATTATCCAGTTCCCCTGAGGACCCAGACAGAGGGTACTTAGAGTACTCCAAGGACATCTCTTGGCTCATCTCTGCCAAGAGCGTATTACAAGTTCAAGTCCAGAGGCCACAATAAGGAGAGAGCTGCATGACCCCAAGTGCAGCTGACAACTTTCCAAGTTCCACAGTGCTATAACCAACTCTGCAGAAGCAAAATCCTTGGCTCCAAACCACTAATGAACTTCTTCTAGCTCCAGGTTTAATTAGTTTTCATTGCAATATTAATGATCCTAACAAACCATTTCAACTTTCCTGTTGCACAGCTGGAATTCTTTTATTTGGCATTTGGTCTCTTTATAAGAAAATCCCACACGCATTCTCCTCCCCGCCTGCCCCATCAAGAGGGAATAAGATCACATTCTTACTTTGCTTATCACTTTGGCCAGCCCAGGGACAGTAACTTTAATAATTTTGAAACTGGGAGCATTAAACACATCACAAACTGCCATACAAATAACATATAATATAACTCCAGGATTTTAATTAAAGTGACTAATATATGTACCAATCCTAAAATCTCTGTAGTACCATTAGGCCACACGCATGGACATTATTGGGAGGTTTAAAATTTGCACAAGGTGTGTCATTAGTTGATCCAAGGCCTTCCAGATCTAGAGTTTTCACCTGGGACTCAGAATTCATTTGTTGGGCACTTTGGACTGCCCAGCCAGAGGCAGCACTATTTTCATTAGTGACTATGAAAAATGATTAAAACTTGCTACCACTTCAGGTTTATGTGGAGGACAGGTTTGGCTGCCTGGCAGAGCAATCAGGCATTTGCTGATAGATTCCAATGGCTTTTTATGTTTTCTGCCTCTCCAGTGGAAGAGAACAGCAAACTGATGTGTGATGGAACTCTGTCCAGCCTGCTTCCAGAAATTCTCCAATCCAGCTTCAATGGGGAGTGCTCTGCATTTATACGCGCAGCCACTGGATTTTAGGTCCAGTGTCCTTCCACGCAGAAACTGGGACTTGCGTGGCACTGCTGAGTGATAACTGGTAGAAACTAAGTCTCCCACAGAAAGGCCCAAAGCCTCAGTTTCAAGGACCCATGATGAACTTAAGCTCAGTCTGGCCAGTTGCAATGTCCAGCACTCATGCTGTGTGGGGCAGCAGGATTGAACCTGCAGGGAGGGTCCAACCTCAGAGATACAGCCCCTGTGACCCAGTTCCAGCAGGCACCAGGAGCAGGAGTCAGGAGCCAGAGAGGCAAACTAACCACAAGAAGGAAGTGAGGAAAGGGGACAGTTGTGGATATTCACACTGGAGATGGACAGCAAACCCCTCAGGAGTTTGTTCTCTAGTGGAGAAGGAGCTCCTAATTTTTCTCTAGTATTTAGGAATGGAAGGCCTTTAGTGCCCACTGCAAGGGAGCAGCTTCTGTCAGGACTACTGATTCCTCCTTAGGGGAGGCCCCTTGCCCCACTACTGAGTCATCCAGGCCAGCGCCACTCCTCTACCAGTGGTCCCCAAACCAGTGTCCTTGCCTCTGGCTGGGCCCCACTCCCCATATCCTTAGAGTGTGGCTGTAGCACACACACTAGCCAGAACCTTTCCTTAAATTTAGACTGGACCACATCCCTTTCTGCTTAGCACCTCTTGAAACCCATAGTGCTATCAGCTACATTGATAAAAGGGACCCAGCACTCCTGAGGTTCCAGTGAGACTGCCCATGGCACTGCCCAGGACTTCAAACAGGGCCCCAAGCTCTCACTACTGGTGAGAACTCAGTAGTGGGGAAAAGGAAAGAGGAAAAGAGTTTTTTAAAAATGCTTACCCACAGTTGTGAAATATGTTCAAGTAAGTTTACTATGAAATATGCAAGACCTATATTTTTTAAAAATATTAATACTAGTGAAAAAAATAAAAGGCAATGTGAGAAAGGCATATACCTGCCAGATTTCAAGATTTACTATGAGCTAGAGTAATCAATACTGTGGCATATGTGGTTTGGCATAAGGACAAACAAGATTACCTTAAAGTTTTCAGAGAGGAAAAATAAAATTGAGTTGTCTACAAAGGAAAACCATCCATACTTTCAACCATGTATCAACATGCTGGATGCTAGGAGATTATGAAACAATGCTTGAAAATCCTGGTAGGAAATTTATTTTGAATCTAAAAATTCAAATAAACAATCAAAAAAGAGAATAAGAGAGTCAGGATTACTATAAACCTTCTCTGAAGGTCTAAGACACAACATGGATCACACATTTAAACATTGACTGCAAAATGATATCTTTTAGGAAAAAATTAGGAACTATCATTGGGATCTAGAGTTAGATAATGAATTCTTACACTTGAAAGCAAAAGCACTCATTTATAAAAGGAAAAAAATTGAAAGTTGAGTTATATCAAAATTAAAAATGTTTGGTCTGCAAAAGATCTTATTAAAAGGATGAAAAGACTGAAGGAAAATATTTGCAAACCACAAATGCCTTGTATCTAAGTATATAAAGAACTTTCAAAACTCACTTAAGAAAAATAAAAAGCAAATAACCCAGCTAGAAAATGGACAAAAGGCACCACCAGCTATTTCACCAGAGAAATTTACAGAGGGCACACCTGGATTTCACACACACTCTCACCACTGCAAGGCCATGCAAGATCAAGTGTGAGGAAAGGTTCTTAGCTCTAGTCTTCCTGGGGTTACTGTTTGTTTATTTGTTTTAATTTGCTAGTCCCTCTTCAAATCTTTTTCACTTGGTATAGCAGGATGTCCTCTGTCATCTCTGGGATAACTCAGCATGTTTTCTCCTTATGCAATGTCAGTTTCCAAGGACAGTCTTTACAAGAAATGACGCTGGAGCAATTAGACATTCATAGGCAAAAGGAGGGCTGTACCCGAACTTTCTCCAGACATGTGAGGACCCCACAGGTTTGCCAGCAACCCTCATAGATCAGAACACTCAGGCCAG